TCGCTATATACAAAAGGTAGTCCGGCGCGGAAGGTAGGGTTAACTTTAGTTACCATATATAATCGATAACTTTATATATAGTGGAAGCATACGCTACCTTCTGCGCCGAACTACCTTTCGTATATAGCGATTTAATATATATATTTAGTGGCAATAGGAAGCCTTTATAAACTACTATATATCCACAAAGTTTCAGATTATGTCTATATATAAATTATTTGAGAAAAATAAGAATGAAAGTAACCTATTTTGGTGGGAAATGGACTTTGTCCGGTAACTTTTGGTAACCTGCTGTATCTTCGTTACCCTGACGCTTCTTAGGGGATTGTGCTCTTGCCGGCAAAGTCGGTTTATAAGGGGCCCTTCGGATACCCTCATACTTTAGCGGATATAACCCGCAGCTTGGACACATACATAACTTATGAGGCAGGAATGATCTGCCTGGAGGGGCGAAATTAATGGCTACAGCCTTGTATGGAGTGATGTTCAGGACTATATGGTACTGCTCTGGCTTTATCACGACGTGTTTGCCGGGTCCGGCGATGATGATATCAAATTCGATGCCGTTCTTTTCGAGCGTCTCCGGACTAATCAGTAATGAGTGGTGGCGAACAAATTGATCGCAACGGTTGCTCGGCCAGTGATTTCTGATAAAGTCTTCGAATTTTTTAGTGTGACTGAGCCGGATCAAGATCTAGAGCTTCCAGCCGCACAAGACGAGGTTGTACGAGTAGAGTTTCCAATCTTCACAGTGAAATGGTGTTCCTGAGCCTTTTTCGCCGGCATACTAATATACCCTGTTTAGGCCTTCAATGGGAGGAATTCCTAAAAGCGCCTCACCTGGGTGAAGAAGGTGGTCAAATGTGGTCGCGAGTGGGGGTCTGATATAATAAGGAATCGTAGCTTCGGGAGGGTTGTTAATTATTTAACGAAGATAGTCTAGACAAGCCTCGCGCGAAGGTTCCTCGATTGTTTGCGAGAAGTCCGGAAACGTATACGTCTTCGACTTAGACACTTTTAGCTGGGCAACCCCTTCGATGGTATGAGGTTTGGAGTATTCAACACCGGGAACCTCGTGGTCCTTCCTTGGGCTGTTGAATCGATCTCGCTAGGCGAGTCTAGTTAATCTCCTCTATGCCTTGAACTGAGAGAATGCCGGTGAATCTGTCGTCGTTGGCAAGCCGCATAATATTTGGAACTAGCTCCTGCCCCATATCCTCAACCGATATGGTGATTTCAAACTGTCCTGCGGAAGATAAGGATTCACCCGATACATGTGGACTTGGAGTTGTATGTACGACTGCCTCGTGCCGAGCCTCACCAGGTCCAGTTTGGCGGGAGCCCACAGAAGAAGCCGTTCCGGAAAGAGGGATCTGTGAGGCCGCGTCCGGCTCATTAAGCCGTTGCGTCGAAGAGTTGATGCCAATTAATGGAAGGCCGTTCGGTTTCTGCTGACTAGCTTCTGTATCTGGAACTGTAACGGACGATCCGCTATTTGGGGGACTCTGTGGAGGAGCTGAAGTCTGTTGAAACAAGTGCCGTACTAATGTCGGGGATCGAGCTTCTTGTGCTGTATCTTGTTCACTAGAATCGACGCTGTGGCTATGACTGTCACCGATGGTCGAGCCGTTCTGGAGTTCTCTCTCGATATTTTCGATGGCAAGGGACATTTTGGACAATTGAAGAGACATTGCCTTTACCCATGGCGGCTGAGTGTCCTTCTGAGGACGAGTCTGCTTACGCGATTTGATAGGGAGCTAACGACTGGGAGGAGGAATGTGGCACTGTAGGGTCGCCTTGACCTGATTGAGGTCGGCCCGTATACTGTGTATCACTGTCGTAAGATCTGTCATCATAAAAACACAAAAGTCTAACCTCGCTCTCGAAGTGAGAAAGTCGTGATGGTTCTGACGCGTTCACCTTCTAAGACACAGTAAAATATCAGGGTCTTGGCGTGCACGGGCCACAACCAGAATCCATTCCAGTTGTGGCCCGTGCACGCTTTCGGCCTGCGCTAGCCCCGGCGAAGGTATCACCACGATATTATGAGCGTGCTATAGCTAAACCTATTCAAAATGACATGTATTCTCTCAAAAGTCGTAAACAGGCTTAACTATCGATGCTATATATAATCTAACGATATTGGGTATGATTTTCAAACTCGCACGATGTCTTCACGCCGCGGCGGACACTCGATTCTATGAAATTTTAGTTCTATTTAGTCTAGCTAACTACATACTACCGAGCTATTCTGAGTGGTAGAAAAGCTATATAGTCTTATCGACGCTATCTGGCATTCAAGCTAACCATAGTGCAGAGAGCGCTTGGTAGATCTGTTTATAGGCGGCGGCGATTCCTCCCTTATTGGAGAAAGCTGTCCTGTGCACCTCTGTGAAAGGGGTCTGTGGTGCATATCGCCAGTCACCTTAGCTCTGCCGGCGAGGGAAGTCTGTCCGGGCATTTCGGGAGTATAGATTGGGTGAGCTGCGGCTTCGAAACCGTAGTCGTTATGGTAGTAGTGATGAACATCAATAACTAAAGCCTGGGCAGGAGATTCCTCCTGTCGTGCTTTTTGCGCTCGAATATAGTTTGGTCTGGAGTATACTCCGGGTTCAGGTATGTGTCCTATCGCCACAGGGTGATTTATTTGGTATCGTCGAGACCGAGCTTTGCCGCAGAGGGCGCAAAATTGGTCTTGAACGAGAGATTGGTAGGTGAATATTTGATCTCGGACTATTTTGAGGTTGGTCGACTTGTCTGGTTTCTAAACGCTCAATTTTTGCGTTAATTGCGGCAGTATGGCTGAGGCAGGCTTTATCGCACCAGTGCTTAAATCTCTGCCTGCGGAGAGATCACTTATGTGAAGAATTTGAATAGGCTTCAAGGCTTATCAATCTATATTGGTAGAAGGGAAGTTGTGGTAAGTGTCTACGTATGACTGGGCGGATTTATTTAATTAGACGAGGGTTGGTGTCAGAGAGCTATGGGGTGGGATCGTTAGACGAAGAGTCAGAGGGTTAAACACGTATCTAGATTATATAAAGCTATCCTTAAGATATTGACTTCTCGCACGATTAAGGGCTCCTCTAGTAGTGCGAGAATAGAGGTCTTATTTATCTCTTTCTATATATACCTTATAGGGGCCGCCTTAACACTTAGGGGCCGTTAGCCCTATAGGGGTTATTCGCCCTATAGGGACTACTCGCCCTAATCGCCCTATAGGGGCTATACGCCTGATGGGGGCCACTCGCCCTATGGGGTGTTGTCGGCCGGGAAGCCCGGGTGACATCCGACGTTCGATATAGTCAGCGAAAACCTAATTAATTACCCATTCCAATAGTGACCCAGCTGTGATACGTTTAGCTCGTTGACAAGTTCCGACTCCCCTAACATTTTTATCCTCAAAGGGTGCAAGTATCCATCTGACAGTGTCGGAGGGAAAAGTGATATCGTCGTCGGCAAGAATGATAATCTTGTGTGCTTCCCTTCGGTCTGGAGTAATGTTCCAAATGGCAGACATAAGTTGCGCCCGTTTATTAGCGTGGCTAGCTATGGATATCTTGACTGTGACATCGCTATACCTCTTTGTTATACCCAATAAAGTTTTAACGTCATTAAATACGTCAGGAGGAGTACAGATCCAGATGTACTTGATTCCAGCCCGTATATGGTATTGAATCCCTTCTGAAAGAGCCTGAAGGTCTTGACCGAGTGTTGCGATTACAACCGTCACGTCTGTCGGCGTAAGAACCGGGTTTTCCGGAATCGGTATTACCCTGTATCGGAGATATGAGACTCCTTGGATAATGAGACGATTATATTTGAAAATACTAGAAAGGTCAATAAAACGCTTAATCACTGACAGGTATGGAGACGTATAACACCAAGAAGAAGTAGAGCATGTCGTTAGTAACTATCGTGAGTGGCCCGTGTCTCTAACGCCGATAATTACTATCCGACTGGCAACTGGTAAAGGATCGGTCGTGGTGAGGAAGAAGCTCATTATGTAGCAGTCACGAAAGTCAAGCTTAGCTCATTACAGGAACTCGGGTAGCCTTCATGCGACTCGGGTCGCTCTTTTCACGAGGTGAGGGGTTTCTAGCGTGGCATGTATGATTTCTCCGTAAAAACCATGTCGGTACAATAGCTTTATGTAGGGAACCGTTATCTAGAGTACAAGCTCTCTTATTTGGGAATAGTTTAGGCTTCGCATCTTCTACGTATTCCAGGACTGTAATTATCCACCAGGACGAATGTGGAACCGCGGAGGACGTAAATGATACGAGTGTTGACGATCAGAAGGAGATGTAGGTGGGTGAGTGGGTGAGAGAGAGAAATGCGATGATTATGACTAAGATCAATACGACTCGTGATTATAGACTTGTCCATGACGGCTGGTGAGGATAGGAGTTGTTCTTTATCAATCTAGTGTCTGTTAGAAGAACTGAGTAGATGCGGTTGGCTGCTTTTTATGCTGTCAATCCGACCTGCCTTTATACTTCAGGGCATGTCTTCTGACCACCTTATATGCGACTTTAACCATCAAGATCTCGTGTTCATTCCATTCCCGGATAGTCCTTATTCAGAGCCCTTTCCGGCGATACTGGCGGTTTCTGACCAAAATAGATATACCTGTCTAAGCATAAGAAGAGGAAGTCGTGGAGCGGAGTTCATACTCACACCGGGGTGTACGTATGGATCTTTCGATTGGACGATTCCCTCCTCATCTCAGCTGTTATGGCGTATACGCTCTCCTCTGACTTTCCTAGAATGTCGCAGAATAGTCGTAAAGAGAACCCTTCTAAGCTCTCGTGGATGTTGGCATTATTCATATTACCAAGATCTTTGATTTTCTCTATTTTAGGCTATCGGTTGTGAGGCAACCCTCGTCGAACTTTCTCGACTTCGATGAATCCAACTTCCTCCATGATGTCTCCGTACTTCTGAGCCAGGTTAGGGTCGCGATCGATTGTTTGTATGGCTTCACGACAGAGTTTGGTCTAATTATCATAGGAGCTGTCGGGCTTGATCGTGCGATCATCCGACTCTGGTAGACCAAAGTCCTGAATTTCGAACCAGCCCCCTGGCCGAAGATTCTCAAAAGCCCGTCGAACGAATTCAGTCGGGTCCCGGATGGAGCAGAACAAATCTCGGGCGTATATAAAGTTGAATTTGTAGGGCAGGTTCCAATCCTTTTGTAGATCCTGTGCGTAGAATTTGCAATTCGGTGCGATCCAGTTTGGCTGAATAGGGCTGACGGCGAACCATTCGACGAGTGACTCCGGATGCTGATCTGCAAAATCCAGTGCCTATATGCCTGTTCCCGTGCCGACATCGAGCACCCTTGCCGGCCGGACGACGGAGCTTCGGTATAATCGAGAGTCGTTCATTTTGAGGTATATCGTATGGTTTAGATCTAGCCTGGCCTGCTCCTTTTCATCATTGGGGAAGGGGTAGAAGACTCCATCTCGTGGCGCATGGTAAGTCCGTCCGTACTGAACAGCATAGTCGTAGAAGCTAGACGATGCAAATGTAGACGCGGAGGTAGAGGCTACACTGGAGAGATCATCTGCAGCCGAGTCGTGGTCGCCTTGGGTTTGGGTTTCTGGATCGCCTGCGGCTTGGGTTTCCATTATGGTAGAATACGTGGTCGCTCGACACTGCACTCAGCGTTGAACGCCGGATAAAATGACCGCGCGGGGGTTGGCATCAATCGCATAAGTGGCCTGCACCACTCGAGACCGTTAGAAATGCCTGGGCCCGATAGAAAATTGTTCCGGGGATGAAAAGGTACGCGACATGCACGCGACGGAAGTTCAGACATTCGTAGATAAAGGGGGAAACGTTCGAGGAGCTCTGTACTGATAAAATATCTGTTCGATTACTGGTAGTTGGCCGCTTGGCACATAGTATGTGTGTTTGAGACGAGGTAAGCCGACCCGACTGGAGTGCGGTTACGGTGCTAATAGCTGCGGGAGAGCTTGTTATGAAGCGACTACTTCGTAGGCACCTTCGGACCGTGTGTTTCAATTATTATTATCTCTCTAGTTGCTATTGCTCTCTGCAGCAGAGAGATCTACTGCCACCACAAAGCCGAAGGAGACAAAATGTTGTCTCGAAGACCGTCTAGCTTGCCTGGCCCGGTGGTAAAGTAGGTTTTGCGTTCAGATGTCCCGCCTTCTCCGTTTCTAATTTCCATTGTTTAGGCTCTGAAACTGCCCTAAGGGGATCCCCTTTGTATTTAAGTAGATATTGCTATATAAAGGCACTAGTAATCTGAGAGCCTGGTACTGCGAGCCCGAACTGTTTTGAAAGCTCCTGTATTTGTGCCTTAGACGGCCTTATCTCCTGTGTCGGTGCCTCAGAATCATTGCTATCAATATTATAGAAATGATTGAATAGCCCCTCGGCTTGCGCTGTTGTGCCAGGTTGAAATTCAAAATGTTCACTTAAACGCCCACCACGCAGAAGAGCTGGGTTAAGGTCCCATATTCGATTCGTAGTGCTAATCATAATGTGTCCTCGTGGTGCGGCTGCTCCATCGATGGCATTTAGTAAGCCACTTAGAGTGATAGTGCGATTTGCCACACCGTTGCTGTTTGCGTGTTGATCTCGATTCAAGCTAGTAGTATTAATGTCTTCGAATAAAAGGATAGACCGCGGAGGCACACGTTCCATGAGCAGAGCTAAATCCGAGTCTGTCATATCGCGGCTTTGGAGGGACACTATGTAAAGGTCGAATTGGAAGTGAGACGCTATTGCAGTTACTAATGATGTCTTTCCAACTCCTGGAGGACTATCCATATTTAGTCAAAAGTCACTTTCGAGAACTCTAGACGACCACTTACCCGTGAAAGAGATATCCTCTGCGATAAGGAATGCCGCGCTTTTGTTAAAAAGCTGCATCTCCCATGAAGTTCTTAATATCTTTGATGACTTTGGATTTCAGCTTAGGATCTAAAATGACTGAATCCAAAGACCGTCGAGGCTGATTCGTTATCGTCGACCAAAGAAATTCGTTCTTATAGTGGCGAGCTATTGAAACCAGAAGAAACTCCTTGTTGTATTCTTTCTGCTTAGACAGCTCGTTGAAAAGAACCTTCGCTGGTTGAAGCGACCCGCCGAGAGTTAATATTGATAAGAAAACCTCTTTTTCAGCCCCATTACTGGTCCAGTTGGTCTCGCTTTCGTACTTTCTTGTTGCGACCTAGAGATAGCCTTTATATAGAAAAGTTTCGGCTCCGGGTAATCGACTGTAGTTGACAGTAGATAAAACCTTGTTCTACTGAAGAACTCTTCCTGACACTGCTCGAAGTGATCGGTTAGTTCTCAGCGTCGAATGCCTTTCGATGAAATGATTTAGATACGGAAAGAGGGTATCACGAGATAATATCGATATCGTGGGGTGAATAAGGCTCCCAATATATCCCATAAGTTTGTTGCCGAATAGGTAGGTATAATATAGAATGACCCCGAGAGCTTGAGCTCCACGACCGAATCTGGAAGTGAGAAGACGGCTAAACAGCTTTGTGAGGTATTGCTTAAGGAGGAGGAGGAGAAACGACATTGGGGGTAAAGATGCTGGGCCGTGAGATAACGGTGCTTAACTACGAAAGACAGAAAATTTTAGCATTTCTAGTTGAGGCCACCTGTAAATATGATCGATTTTGAGCTTTAGGTCATGACGGGGCCGGAGATTCTCTGATTTAGCCCGAGATGTGCTCGAGTTTTCGACGCGAGGACGAAGTATAGACGCTAGAGGAACCTGGCTGATATTGTGAGAACTAGATTGTATTTTGTCCGAGTCTAGATCTAATATTGAGGCTAGATCCAGGAGATCCCGGCTGCCGCTCCATGCCTCGAAGGTAGGATAGGAATTTCCCACGAATCAAACAGAACGCCACCTCGGTCCTGGAAGCAGGTGAATTTCCTAGATGTATTGAATCGGTGGCGAAAGTCAGTGAAGTCTGTATAGGAATTGGCCACCCGGACAGTCGAATATTGATGGCTACGGGGCATATGGCTGACACGGAGAGAGCCTACGAGAATGGCGGTGACTGCCTAAATCCCGCTTCGAGGGAACCAGTGGGCTATCCGTGTACAGCACCCTAGCAAAAATATCCGTCCACCCCACCCCAACCAAATGTTCAGCCCCCAACTACCACTACACAATGTAGCCACCACGCACTCAATTTCTATAATAATTTCCTATGAATTGTAGGATAGCTAGCTCAATACCCATAAACTAGGGTTCATACAGAAAAATGCTTAATATCGCGTATACCAGCCCTCCGCGGCGATAACAGCGTTAATCCTGTTGTCCATAGACTTGACCACTGCCTTGATCTTTCCAGGGCTAATACTGGCCCATGCCCTTGATATCGCGCTGGCAAATCGTGCTCTGATAGCCTCACTGTCCCCAGTAGTGTCCTTAAGGCCAGGATCGATCTCGTTGACTAGGCGTTTCAGCTCAAACTAGAGGCTTTCAATGGGGTTCAAATCCGGCGAATATGGTGGCCAATCTAGCACTTGAATTGCCTGGTTTTCGAACCACTCTTTGACCTTTTTTGCGCTGTGAATAGGAGCATTGTCTTGCATGAAAATCCTCCTAGGCTGCTAGTAGGTAGGAATGTTATCTTTAAGAACTTCAAGATAGGAATTCGCCGAATAGCCCATCTTTTTGGCCTCCCAGTCTCGCGATAGAATGTACGTATCTAACGCTTTATAGCCCCATATCGCTGCCCAGATTATAATTGAGATATCCTGCTCTTTACCTTTAGGAGTGATAAACTCCTTATTCCACTTCTGTTGCGGTGTGCGGAAGACCTATTCGCGAGCGATACTAGAGCCACGCAAGATCGAGTATTTATCTGACCAAATAACTTGCGACTAATCCTCCTAGGTCCAGTCCTTGTATTTAATAGCGAATGCTAGGCGTTTAGCTGCGTGCTCGGTCGTTAATTTAGGCCTATTTTTAGACAGCCATTTGCGAAGACTATGGGCCTGTAGAACCCTTCGAACTGTGTCGATTGAGACGTTAAGATCACAGTTTCGGATCACTTGTTAGTAGGAATGCCTTGGATTCGCTTTCGTATAACGGACGACTCGTCTCTGCGCTCGGTCTGAGAGCTTTTCAGGCCTTCCAGGTCGTTGGTGGCTATGTGATTTAAGGTGGTTGATAATATATTAGATAGAGCTGCGAGGGATATTTACAACTGTTGCGATTTCGCGCTGCGATTTTCCAGCTAAATGAAGTCCGTACACTGTACCACGCTGAAACTCAGAATATTCGCAACTCTTTGGCATGTTTTTAGCAAAATCAAAGCAATTAAACAGTGTGGCTGAAGCAATTCGCTGTTGAAGTCGGAATAACTACAAATCTAAGGGGTGGAAAATTGGTGGGGTGGACGGATATTTTTGCTAGGGTGCTGTATAAGCTGACCATGTGGCCAGGTAGAAGATCATCTGTAGGCACCCGTACTAAGTACCCCTAGAAGAGGCTTTTATCCTTCGAGCGACCTGCACAAGCCTCCTCCAAAGGAAGCGGAGGTACGCTTAACCTTCAAACTCGTAGGAACCGTACCGATATAGAACCATACCGATACAAAAGTCGGAACATCTCGCAAGTGGAACAGGATATCAATTCTATACGTACATTCTGATAGAATAGAATCGAGAAATCAAGAATTGTATGCCCGTTGAAAACGTGGTGGTGTCGCCTCTCTAGGAAGCACGAGAATTTCCCCGGCATCCCCGAAACCTCCACACTTGAAGTAGGCTCCCTGCGCATTGAGTTCCGATATGTGCTGATGAATCTTATACCTAGGGACCACTGGCTTGTTGTCCCATCCGCGTGTGATACTGATATCCACACAAGTTTGCGTTTTCGTAGTCATGACCTGGGATAGTTTGTCATGTATCCAGGCGTACAGATGGGGATCCAGCCCAAATTGAATCCATATCTCAGCTTGCTCTTCTATTTCCTTACGAAGGCATAGTGTGAAAGTGTGCAATTCGCATTGCAAAACTGGATTACGGTTTCGAAGCAGGGTGAAAGTGTGGTGCTCCAGTCTCTTGACGGCTTCCGTGGCGACAGCTTGGACGCAACCCCGGAGAGCAGCGACTTCCTCTGGCGGAGTGTGTAGCGTTACGCCGGTTTGTAGGAAGCAGAAGACATCACTGAGTGGGAAGGCCTTTCACTTGGCGCGTTGAAGCCGGTAGCTCTTAGTTAACTCAAGCTACGCGGCCTCAACTTTCGGGTGACAAGTGGAGATGGTGAGAGTATGGTCTGCTGTCAAATTAAATTCAAAAAGCGGCACTCGAACGATCGAGCTTTCCATTTCAAGAAGGGGTCCGCTTTCAGCTAGAGGAGAGAGAGTAGCGATGACACTATTGGGTTGCCAATCGCCCTAAGGCTGAACGTTTTGGACGTAAGAGCCCGCATGGTCGATTTGAATGTACTCGTCTTCCATATCTATATTTAGGGCGCAGTTTAAGTCGCTCTTGATAATAGTTTGGCCGCTTAGAAGAGAATGAGAGAGGCTCATGTCTCGAACCCCTGGAGATCTCTGTATCCCTCGAAGTTGGACCACCGTCACGGTCAGAGCGGCACGTTCTAAATTGGAGTGAGCGAATGCATCGGGGGACCGCAGGAGCTCATTATACATCCAGTCGAGCGCCATCGAACCCGCACCCGTGTGAACGGACTCTTTAGTGTAGGGTCGTTAGAGCGAAAGCTCCCGATGATAATCTCGTTTTCGGACCATTAAAAGGTGTACGTCGATGAGCTGGCGGTAGTGACGCCCGACAAAATCGCTACGGTGCTTCCCGGAACTGTGAACGAACCTTTGGCCAAATGGAGAGTCCACTCCTGGCTGAGGCGGTATACACCGTCGCACTCAGAGGTGTCAACTTGCGGCGCACATCCACATTGCCAATGGGAATTCTCGGGAACCGGTTCACTTATCATATCGACCATACTAGCCATGCCAAAAGAATCGAAAGTTTGGCGAACGAAAGCGCAAGACGAGGTAAGGATGATAACAGAAATATGGTATGAAATATCTCGGGGTAGGGAAAGGTCGGGTGTTTCTTTGTCTCGAAGACAATTCGGGGTCTTCCCTTTACTTTTATTGTCCAACCATCCATGAGGAGGTTTCGAGATTCGCAACTTTGACGACCCAGTCACTCCACCACCGTAAGCCACTATGAATCACCTGGGGTTCAAGCTTGCCGACCCATGTCGAGACCGATCGAGTCGGTGGATTGGAACGTCCGTAAAATGACCTCGGTGACGGTTATTCCCACACCAAACAGTGGACGTAGTTTTGCGAACATTTGGCTATTCTCAAGTGTTTCGGTAAAATCTGCCGAGGCTTGAATATGTGTGCTCTTTTCGTCGACGTGCAGGTTCAACCACTGGAGATGAGGAGGGATAGTTCTCGTAATGGTCAGGGAAGGTGACCCCGATCTGGGTAATGAAAATAACTCCGAAGAGGGGGTTGGAGTCTCGTAGATGGTAATGGTTGACGGATTAGGTGACGTACGGGCCACGGCATGACTTTGTAACGCACTAAAAGACTGATCGGGTGGGCCGTCAATAACACGAATAGGAGGAAGTGAGCTCTTTAGTGAGTTCTTGTTGGTCACTACTAGCTTTTGGTGGACTTGTTGTTCTATCTCTATATCTCTCGTCGCTCGTGTGTGGCCGAAAAGTCTGATTCGAAATCCCGATATGCCAGATGGGTAGATGGATGTGACAGCTGAACGGTGGGCGATCGACTGGGCTTTTCAAGGAGATCTTGAAGATAGAGAATCATCGACGGCTGGCCAGAGCTATAGTGTGAATATGGACCAGCGTCCAGATATCACGCACTTTCAGTGGGTGGCGTTAATGCTATTGACGCAGCTAGCGCAGACTATGTAATGTCTTTGGAGAAACAGCTAGTGTTGATTTGTATAGGGTTCAAAAGAGTCATCAGCAAGGCCCCTAATCCACCACTATCAATGTCCAGGATAAAAGTGCGGCCAGAAGCGAGGCCCGGATATGGCCTACCCCGAACAAGCGTCGTGGGAACTGGGCGGTCTGAAAATTGGACAGACGATGGCGGATTAGCATCGACAGCCTTTCAATATCCTCCTCGCTCCTCTCTGTCCTTCCCAAATCCAATACTGATTCTCCTATGGTACCTATTCTGCTTAGTAGAGTCCGAATCCTTCGACTGTGGTGCTTCAAGAGGTGACGGTAGTACATCCGTGCAACGGCCTAGGCTTTCCGAATAATCATAATGGCCCTTTCCATGAACTAAAGAGCGTAAAGTTCCCGGGCGTTCTCAAGCCCCCAGTGCTTTACGTCCTCGTCAAGAGGTGTGAGTGGGTTGTATTCCGAATCCAGAGCGAAGCGAACGTGCAACTTATGGAGTCTGTTCTGCAAAGTTGGGAGGTAGGCATTCCGGATAAAGGATCTCCCATGACCTATCGTTCAGGGGTGTGATGCTGGGTACCTGAAGGATATTTCCGATTATTGTATCAAGGTCGACCGTACTATGGGCTTCGATGGAGAGTCGTACAAGGGTGTATAAAGCGTCAATGAGCTCCTCGGCCGCGTGCCTGTATCAGTTAGGCTATATCTCGGTGGGGAAGAATGGGTATACTGAAACATGGTGGGAGGTGGTCACGAATGCTTATCGCTGGAGGGCACCTCACTGCCAGGAATCACTCCATCCCGCTCGAAAACCTGGGTCTCGACTTGCACGTGAAAGGCGATCCTCTCGATCTCTGCATAATCTTCGTCTTCAGAGAACACCGTGTAGATAGAACGACCGTCAACATTGGATGAGAGGTCGCTAAAGACAGATGAGCCTTCGAAAGATGACCTATCGCTGTCGGAGAGTTCCTCATCTTCCTGGCCAGGTCCAGAAGGGTCTGCGATACATCCCCCCTCCCTGTTCCAATCGGACATGGGCTGAATGCCGATGCCAATAATATAGTCGTTCCTCAGTTGACGTCCGAAGCTCTCATAGCAGGGTGAAGGTGGAGGTATGGGAGGTGCCACGACGTCCGGCGAACAGGGAGTGGGATGCGTTAGCGCCATAGAACAACAAGGATCAAAGTAGGTAGCGCAACGGGAAATGCCGAAACCGGTCAACAATATAGAAACCGGGCAACTTAAGGATAACAGCGGTGAGGTTCTGTATGTTTATATCTCTCTGGGGATTCGAAATGACATCGGGAAGCGTGCAACAACCATATCCACGACTCAGGGGTACCAATAAGGGAAAGCCGGATGCGAAGGCACCTTGTCAACCGACGATAGTAACTAGTGTCACCCGGGAAGCAGGGCTGTTACAATGACTGTTACAATACGCTTCCCGGCCGACAACACCCCATGGGGCGAATGGCCCCCACCAGGCGAATGGCCCCCATGGGGCGAAAAGGGCGAATGGCCCCCATGGGGC